GTGACTTTTTGTGATCAGAGTACCTGATGACAAAACCTGAGAAGACTGAGGAACATAGGTTGCGTAATATGATATTTCCAGGAAAAAAATGAAAAACATGAAACCAAAAGTTCTTCCCCCCAGTCGGTACCAGTAAAGGTCTTCAGCCAACACGAGTGCGAGTGCGCTTGTGAGTGGGTTGCATGTGGTGTGTGGGAGAGTGTTGGCTTTAGATGGGGATAGGGGATGATGAAAAGCGAGGCACAGTTACTGAAAAATGCTCGGTCCTTGTGTTAGCTGGGCCCTTCCCACCGGCGGCCCCAACTCTGCACCCTAAATGCTAGGGCAAAGGGGCAAACATGCCGTTGCCTCTCTCCACAGAGAGAGGTAACCTCCCTTCAGCGAAGAGACGTAGAAAGCTATGCTTGCAGGGGTCCCCTGTATACCCTTAGGAGTAGTGGTAGGTAGGTAGAAAAAGATATGTTCCATGATGGCATGGCAGAATGCCAGTTAAAAAATATGTGAGGTGAGAGAAATTTTTTTTTTGACTGTCCCCCAATGAGGAGAAGGGAGCTTAAGAAAAAAAAAAAAAAAAAAGGGGGGAAAAAAAAACCCTTCATGCCAAAAGAAACAATGGGCGTGAAAGAATGCATTTTCCCTCCCCGCCATTACTGGTTCGCTCCCATTGTTCTGACTCAGTGGGCCAGGCGCAGAATAACAGTACTGCATCATTGAAACAGTCTCGCTGTAGACTCCTCGTTCGGCACAACTGTTGAACCACCACTATCTCCAACCCTCTTTTTGCCGAGGTGAATTTCCCCTGCGCGCCAAAAAGAAAAGAAACAAACTGCTACGGTGGGCCGTCGGTGGCATTTTACTTTTATTTTTCTTCTTTTCGCCAGCGCCACCAGCCATTTTGATCTGGTAACATTGTTTGTACAAACTTACAAAGCATTCAGATTGTTAACGGGCCCAGTGCCCAAGGCTGATATTACCAAAGAACATTGACCTTGCCTAGGAAAGGTATTCATTGCTGAGTGCGCCATGCCTTTTTTTTTTTTTTTTTTTCAAAAGCCCAGGGTGTTAAAGAGGGCAAGGACCAGACCCGTGGTGATTGCTGGCAGCGGCAGCCAATGGTTGTCCTGACAGGATAGGCCACCTACCCTACCCATCCCCACGTTAACACTCCCAGCGCACCCCCTGCCCCTAATATCCTACCTCAGTGTGACCAGCACTCAGGACCATCACCCTACAAGTATCAAGAGCAACTTGGATCGGACAGCAGTGACAAGCACCAAGGCTGGGCCAGAAGCGGACGAACCTTGCCGTACGGGAACTTTGGACGCCAGGCTCATACAATCTTCTACAGGCCCAATTCTGAGAGTCTACCCATCAGGAGTGCCTACGCAAGGCAAGCCGGCGCCCACGGACACATCCTACCGTCCTTTCCCTAACTTACACCAAGGCTAGGCAGAACTCAGACTAGCCGGAGGGAGTGCCTACGCAAGGCAAACCGACGCCCACGGACACATCCTACCGTCCTTCCCCTAACTTACCCAAGGCTAGGCGGAACTCAGACTAGCCGGAGCGACTTACATCCCTACCCTATCCTAGAGGTACGCCATGCGTGAGCAGACCCCATCGTATACCTGATAGACCCCCCCAGCCCGGTATCATAGTTGTGCGTATATGTGTGCCCAGAGACTATGTATGCTTTTGTATGAGCCTGTAGGCTATGTCTATGTATTCACGAGCCATGTTTGTGTCGGCCCGAAGGCTATGTGTGCTCTATGTAACTGTATAGCGAGATATATATGTGCCCAAACGTTATGTGTGCTCTATGTAACTGTATAGCGAGATATATGTGCCCCAAGGCCAGATATGTGCAGTACTATGTAGACGGAACTATATGTTCGTTGAAGAGATGACAGGCCAAGCTGGACAAGACCCCCCCCAAGTCCCAAGCCAGACTTGAACCCGTGATCTACGACATGTGACCTGAAGACTACCAATTGAGCAACAATCGCAAACGGCACCTGTGTGAGATATGCCGGACTGGGGAGATCAACAGAACAACCACAACCAACAGAGACAAGCAACCCATGCAGTATCAGTCATGCAGTATCAAGACCCGGCATACAACACCATGGACAACCCTTGGTTGGTGCGTAGGCAGTGTCTGTAATAGCTTTACCATGCGTCAGCCCAAGGGGGCTGTGTGTGTCCAGCCGTGCGTCATTCTAACGCCCTGCCGCTGTCCATGCCCAAGGCTGCGGAGTTTTGAACCCACATTCTCATACCACAATGTGCATTTCCAACCGGTGCTCTAACCACTGAGCTACATCAACTGGACAAGAATGCGCCATGCCTTTCGGGGCTCAGCATACGGAAATGGAAAAGGTTGGCAGCACCAGCCAGAACAGGATTCAAATGCTTGCCCGCGCCGGTGGAACCGAAAAGTGCCGCACAGCAGAGATCTACAAAAATGAAACTCATAAATGCTGATGGTTAAGGTATAAAAAAAAACACAGAAAAAGCTAAGGACCCACTTTTAGGGCCTAGGAGAAGTTCTGCTGTGTGCAGTGTCTATCTGCAAGGTTGGCCTTTGCGGGTTGAGGTTGTCCTCGGTCTGATAATCGACTTTTTTGCAGCAGCGAAAAAGCAAAGAAAAAGACCTACCCCCACCCCCCAAAACACCCCAGCCACAGCTTGCCATTGCACGGATATGGCAAAGCTGATACCCACTCAACCCTACGACTCCACCATTCCACAGTCTGGCTTTGCAAGGCGCTGGCTACCTTCTTCACCTGAATAGAACGCCCAGTCATTATAGCCATATACGGGGCAACTTTCAGTATAGATACAGCGATAACAACATGGTGTTCTATGTTGTCAGTGACATCTACGTGTACGTACTTACCACCATCCACTTCTCCCATTGCTTCACTACTCCACTGGTAGGACTGCCGCATCAACTGAGAAAGCCTGTTTTTTTTGTTTTTTTCTAGGCTGTTTTCCCGGGCACCCGGGCACCCAACTTGTGCTCGGATACATGCCTGGGAGCCCAGCCGGGCACGACCCCCGGGCACGGTTCCGGGCAGCCCAGCGCAAAAAAAAAAAAAAAGAAAAAAAAAAATTGAAAAAAACGCTAGGCTACCAGAGTGGCACGGCGCCAGTTGCCCGGCCGGGCCAAAAAAAAATAAAAATTATTTTTTAGTTTTATTTTTTATTTCAAATTTGGTAAAGAATTTCGAAGTGACCCTGAGGCAAAAGTTGTTCAGTTTATTTTTCTGCATAACATAGTTTTTTTTCGGATTTTTTTGATTTTTTTATTTTTTGTTTTTTTTGGCTAGGACCTTCCCTGGGCCTTGCACGGCCGGGCCGTCCGGGAAAATAGGGTGACCCGGGCGGCCCCGATGGTAGCCTAGAAAAAATGATAAAAGTCCCAAAAAATCCGGGGAAAAAAATGTTGTGCAGAATTGCAATACAAACAACTTTTGGCTGAGGGTCACAGCAGAATTCCCAACGGAACAGAAGACAAACAAGAGAATAACCGAATCACACTACGGCACCCCAGTTCAAACTTTAAACCCATTTAGTTAGCCCCTTTAAAACCAATTTATAACCCCTTCCCCCCCCTTGACAGCCAGCACTCAAAAAAAGAAAAGAGCCCGGATTTGAGCTCCTCGCGGAGAGCATGGAAACCCCCCACCGCCCAAAAAATAAATAAAAAATCCCCATGCCCAGGTACCCCAGGCGTCACGCCCGGGTGACCAGCCGGTCATAAAAATCTTCCTATTTTTTATTGGAAAAGCCTGTTTTTTTTTTTCTAGAGAGGGAGATATGACAAATCCATAGAAAAACGGGAGGGTCGTCAAATCTCCATCACTCCACGAACTTATCCACATACTACATATATGTACATGCAGATGACAGTACATTGTGAAAATATCCAGACAATATGTTGTGACAATATATATTGTCACATGTGAATATGGGCCTCGTCTCTCTTCACTACGCAATATTCTACATGTATCTGGACACCGTGATGGTTTTACTACGTTCAAAATGTTCTATCCGTCCGGATGTATTTGCTCCATGTGTCAGTTCAAGTACCTGTTGAATGTTGAGAAGTGGAGCGAGGTCCAATTTGTACATCACATCTTCAGCCGCAGAGGACCCCCCCCCCCCCGTTCTAGCCCCATTCAACGGGGAAAACAGGGTTGCAGATGGCGCGAGCCACACCCCCGCCAAGAGTAAACGAGATAAAAAAGAAAAGAAAAAAAAACACTCCCTATCTCTCTCCCCCACCCCAGCCCCCACCCTTAGCCACATGGCAGTGGC